TTTAATCGTTACTAATATACCTTTATTTAGTCCTTATTTGATCCCTATCATTTTTCAAAATACATTTTTATTTTTCTTATTTTCAATCACACATTTTTCAATAAAATAATATTACACACTACCCAAAAACTTTTCCTTCATTTTTAACTACATATTCCCCATCAATCTACTATTCCAAAATGCATAATATATGGGAGGTACAAAATGTAGACAAGTTATAAATATTATGAAATATGTTGATAAAAAGTGTGTTCGACCATCTTAAATTATAGTTTAAACTTTGTCAAACATACTCTTACTAAAGTCTATTTGTAAAAATATAAAATTCCCGTTCAAAATAAAAAGAGAATAGCTGAGCATAGTGGCAAAATGCTGAATGAAATAGGAGAAAATGAGAGCAAAGAACGATATAAAAATAGTACTTTAGAAATACTCGAAATTATAGCTTACCTAATAAAACTTAAACAATATTGTACGTTTTTCATTTTCTTTGGCCAAACCAATCGTTCTAAGAAATGTACACCATAATTGCAATATCTACCCATGCAACATTTCTTCAACATGGTGATTTGTGTGGGTCGAATGGCTAACAAGTGGAACATAAGTTAGGTACAGAAGGTGGAGCCAATTGGACTTAATCTAGAGGTTTAAAACGAGTTGAGCTGTATTTAAAAATACGAGGCTTGGCATTAGGGGTAGGGGTAAGCATGGGTTGGGTTGGGTATATTTTTGCCTCAACCCAAACCCAACTCAACATAATCGGTTCGATCATAATTTAACCCAATCCAACTCGTGTAAAGGTTGAAACTCAACACAATCAAGTATCGGTCGGGTTGGGTTGGTCAGGTCGGGACACCTTGTCAACAAAGACTAAAGTATATGGGTCGGGTTGGACGAATTTATAATTGACTCATGATTTATATAATATTTGGTCTTCATAGTTGCAATGAACAAGAAAATATGAATTATTTTGGCACTTCATGCCCGGAAATGTTACATAGACAAATTTATATTAAATTCTATGAAGTCAAGAAATGTTTTTGGCAATTAAAATGTTTTTGTGATGAATGTGTATTTGCTTATACTATTTTTCGTAAAATACATTCTATCCAAATCTTATAATATTATTTTAAGAGTTTTCAAACAATATTATAACATTTGTAAAGTTCATAAATATAGTCGGGTTGAGTTGGACGGGTTTATTCGGTTTTTATTAGTTAACCCATTACCCGACCTAACCCAACCCGACCTAACCCAACCCAACCCGCTCATACAACCAACCCACCCAACCCATGTAAAAACAACAAAAAAATCAACCCAAACCGATCGGGCTAGTTCGGTTTGGACGGTTTTGGTGGGTTCGGTGGAGTTTTGCCCAACCCTACTTGGCATGGCCCCTGCAATGTAAGCTTCAATCACTGAGGTTGGTAGGGAGGGACACTATCTTTTGCAGAAGAGAAATGCAGAAGGATTTCATTACTGCAATGGAAATTTAACAATGACGTGGCTTTTTTTTTCACAGTAGAAGTACAATGACATTCAAATTAAACCATCTTCATTGCAAACCAAGTACATAGACATTTTGAGTTATATTTCAAAACCCAGAAAACCTCCACAAAAACACAGTAGATAGTACGGCTGACCATGTTTAAAACCGCCTTTCTAGTTTTTTTTTTTTTTTATTGGCGGTAAACACCTGAAAATTAGAATGCATACTGCCCATAAAAGCACTTAAAGAGGTGGTTTTATGAAATTATCCCGATTGTAGTTTCTTGTTCAGCAAATAATTAAAAGGGGGACGACAATCCGTGCCATTAAGAAACGAATCCGCCANTAGTTTCTTGTTCAGCAAATAATTAAAAGGGGGACGACAATCCGTGCCATTAAGAAACGAATCCGCCATCAACTTATACGCTGCTTCCGTAAGATGAGCTCCATCCCAGTTAATATACTGCGAAGGGTTCGCGCAAGAACTGGAGGAAGGAGAACCGCAGCAGTTGAAAAAATCGAAGTTGTACATTCTACCTCCATAGCCACAGCAAGCCTTGTACAGTTCTTTGAATCCGTACTTTTTTGCATTCTTGAGTACTGTTGAGTGGGCATTATAGAAATCTGCGTAAAGAATGACGGATTTTGGGAATTCCTTTCTGAGAATGTTCAATTTTCCTTGGAGTGCAGCGTTGTGAATGGACACTTGCTTGTTCATGCTCGCCACACAGCCTAATTCGTCTCTGTCTTCGGGAGAGGAGATTACGAAGGAATAGGTCATGCACCCCATTGGAGGTAGACCTTGAACGACAATATACTTTGCGCCCTTATTTAGTAATGCCTATATCCGAAGCAACAAATTCAGTATCCATAATATAAGGATTCATGTTATAATATATAACATTAACAGGGACCAATGTGAAACACGAAAATACTATTATCTGAGTCTCGTGGCATGCCTAAGTACGAGGAGTGGCCCAAAATGTGTCGACATGACCACATTTACATCGCTAGCTAACCTCAGTGGTGCACCACTATTTTGATTAGAACTCTAGTCATTTTCTATTAATATAGAGATCAAGAAAATCATGAAATTAAAACTCATGTCATGAGATACTATCCTGGCTAGTGCAATCGGTCCATCTTCATATGAGCTAAGACCTAAGAACCATTAATCATAAATCCAAAAAACACAAAAAGTACTTTTAAGTACTTGTGTGAATTTATTGATTGACCAACAAAATATTTTTTACAAGGATTAAACTAATTGTACACGCTTGGTGTACATTAAATTTGACACTCTACTTGTTGTCAAAATTTATACCATTAATTATTTAAGTATTGTTAAAATCAATGTAAAAAGTTAACTCCTCACAATAATGTCAACAAAGATGTACGAGTAGCATGATTATTTTGGAAAATCTAGGTAGAAGTTTAAAAGTGGATCACACTTATATCAACTAAAATATTCAAAACTCCCCTCAAAACTGACACTTGGAAATTTTATTAATGGCCTGTTTGAATCCTATTTTTGGTATAAATTGCATTTTAGAATAAAAGATTGATGGAGAATGTGTGTTTAAAAATAAAATAAGAAATTTTGGGTTACGTGTAAAATTATTTTATTGAAGAATGTGTGGTTGAAACGGAAAATGTATTTTGAAAAAAATAAGAATCAAACAAGTTCTAAATAGGTGACGGCGTTGCTTGAATGAGTATATCTGAACTAAAAATTTAAGTTATTAATGAAGACTACAAGTATATCATTTAAATATTCTATAATATTTACAAACTTTATTCCCGAACCAATCTGAAATAACTGTGTGGCGCTCGCACGGGGAGGATGGAGAACTCTATTTAAAACAAATATGAAAAAAATTGGTATATTGACCTCCTTACTGTTTTGCACAAAGGGCGAAAGATTTTTCTGCCAATATTTTAGTTCTTTTTCATTAGTTCACCCAAAAAAAAAAAAAATTGAACAAAATATTTGGGCTCCCCACTCGATTACAAAAAATAGTGAAGCTTGAGAAAATCTAGCTTGAAAATTATAAAAAACAAGGACTTGCGGGCACAAGATTTGCCTCGTAGGAGTTGTTAAGAGGAAAAATCGAGGAAAAAACCATTTATATGAGTAAAATTCATGTGTATGTGCACGGTGAACACTTCTCCAAGTGCATGCATGGATACAGCTTGGAAATGGCTTCCAAGGAAATTCTTGAATGCAATAATTCACTTTTATGGTATTATTTTTTAATTTTATTAATAAAAAAATTTACCCGCAGAAAACGAGTGTGACTGTTGATTCCAAGCTGTTGAATGGTTTTTCTTGGGACTTGAGATCCAATACTAGTAGAATAATCATTGGCTCCAATTTCACCTATCCAAAACAAGGCATCATCTAAATCTTTCTTGCACTCTTTTGCACTTATTTTTGAATCCTTACACCCTTTACTTCCCAAAAACTTATCGAACCAGTTCAACTGAGTTTGGAGTGTCTGAGGAACACGATTTAAGGTAAGATTGTTTTTAACAAAGAAACTGCGTTTTATGGCAGTTGCACCGGCAACGGCGAAGTTCACGCCGTGTGACGTATCCGCCGTGGGGTTGACGTACGGCGGAAGAAAAGGGAGCGAAAGGGCTTCTGCCACGAAATCGATAACAAGACGGCCGTCCGAGTAACGGTTCGTGGAATGGTGGAAGTATGTAATTCCGTAAGGAGGGTTGGATACGTAGTTGAAGATGATTGGACCAGTGGCCGTCCGGGTGTTGCCAGTGTCGGTGTAGGAGTCGCCGAAGGCGTAGATTTTCTTAAAAGGGCGAGGAGGAGGATAGGTTGCAGATGAAATGTTAAAGAGAAAAGAGGAGAAAATTATCGTGGCAATGATTTGAGAAGTGAAAAATGCGATGGAATTGGAAACCATTGTTCTTAGCTTTTGCGTAAGGAATCTCATCTACTTCTCTTCACCTCGTTTCTTTATATAGCCCTTGAGCTCCATTTTGGGACAAAAAAAAGGCATTTTTGAATAGTATTTGTTAGTCTAATAGACCAATTTTTTTTTTTATCTTCGATTTACATATAATATTATTTTATAGAAGAATATGTAGCGGAAAATGAATTTTTGAAAAGATAGGGATCAAACGTAGGCATGGATGAGCAGCTATGATGCAGTGAAATTTCTAAGAAGCTAGGGTTTCTGATTTTTGGAATTGTTTGAAGAGTTTTCTAACTTTTTTTTTTTATTTTTAATAAAAGTTTAAAACTTAAGCCTATATTTGATAGAAATTAAAATTTAGATCTTTGTGGAAGTTAAAATCAACAATTAGTTTTAAAAATAATGCTATATGTACACCTTGTGGTGCACACAGTGCATTACACCTCCTCACATGGAGGGGGCCCACAAATATTAATTTTATTGTGTGTGGGCCTCCCTCCATATGAGGGGGATGTAATGCACTATGTACATATAGCACAACCCTAATTTTAACAACATATTTCATTGACTTTTATCAAAATTTGATTTAACTCCACCAGAAAGAAAATTTTATGAAACTTATGACCAAAAATACTTGAAATCTCGGTACAATTGAACATCATTTATGGACTTTTTGTGAACTTCAATTGAGAGTAACTTATCCTCTTGGTACAACTACTTTAAAATAGGGGTGTAAGCGGTTCGTTTTATCTATTTTTGATAAATTTTCAAACAAAACCGTTTTGACCTGTTTAAAAAAATTCAAACATAAATCTAACGGTTTGGTCAGGTTTTAAACCGCCGATTTCGCGTATATTTTTTTGTCTGTCTAGTGTCTACTTTTATGCCAATAATTCAATATATATTTATATCTTACTGGCAACATTATGGCCTTGTGTGGGAGAGATTAAAATCGGATTAAAATTGAAAATATAGTCGTTATTGTTGACTTTTATTAGATGAGTGGGACCCAATAACGGCCATATTTTCAATTTTAATTGACTTTTAATCCCTCCCGAACGGGGCCTATATTTCTTTTTTCTTTTTAAATAATCGAGCCTAATCTTCAAATTCAAGTGACTATTTGGATTAATAAACAAATTTTAACTTACTCTCAAGTTATTAGATACTTGCAGCGTGCAAGTCCTCGTTACTTTCAACATGTCATGTCGTGTTATCATGTGTAGTCTATTTAAAAATTCTATAGAGTCTATCCATTTGTAGTATTAACTACAAGAAGGTAAATTTGCCAGTGGGTCGACGTGCCATCAATTATAGAACTGCGACCAAAATAGTAAAGAGTCAAATGTGCAGGTGAAACAAATTTATGAAGGGACATATTAAAAAATGTCCAATTTTTTGAGTGTCAATTAAAAAATATCCATCATTTTGAATTTTGTACCNTAATAGGAAATTAGAAATTGACAAAAACACCAACAAAATGACAAAATTATTGAATTTACAAAATTGAAACTTTGGATAAATTTTCAAAAAAAATTCAATTTTTTATTTTTTATTTTATATATTTTTTCGCCAATCCGGTTTGATTTTAAAGGGTAATTAAAATTTCCAAACCTAAACCAAATCGTTTTTCAAAATCATTTCGTTGACGGGTCCACGCAACACCAAATCGCCGGTTTCGAAATTGCGGTTTCGATTCGGTTTTCTGATTTGACGGTTTTTGCTTACCGCCCTAGTTTAAAATTTATTTTTTTTAAAATTCATTTTTTACCACACATTCTTCTAATAAAATAATTTTAAACATAAATTCATAAATTTTCTACTTTTAAACAACATAATATTTAATATATCTTTTCAAAAAAAATAAAAATCACATCTTATAATTTTATAACGGTCTATATATGGTTTTTTTTTTATAACTAAAGTGATCTTATTTAGACCAAAATAAGGAAAAGTATATCTTAATTAATAGGGAAACTTATAATATATCCATATTTACACTTACATATATATTTCGTTTAGTGTGGAAAATAAATTTTGCTTAAAAAAATTATTAATGTCTTTAAAAATAGTTAAATAAACCAAAATATCAATTACTGTAAATAACAAATCGCACATTACATATTACATTATGTAACACTACTTTAATAGGATGCTAAATGGACTGAGCCGCTCGACTCGGTCGTTTGACAAGCTCATCTCAACCCATTGAGTTGTTCATGCTCTTGTCGAGTCGAGCCGAGCCAAACGTGAGTTGACTTGCTACCCCTATGAAAAGATTAAGAAACGAAATATATATACAATTCATCTTCTTGAAGTCATTGGTGTATGCAAACATGTGCTTCTATGAGAATTATAATTATTACTCAGGCCATGTAATACATATTGATGTAACATATAGTTTTTCATGATAGGCATTATGTATGTAAGTATTAATAAAGTTGTGGGTGAAATGAACAAGTTCCGGGATATATTGGATAATATCGAATATTGATACTGCTATGTGTTCCACCATTGAAGTATATTGTAGAAGTCGATTCATGCTAATAAGAAATTGATTTTTTGCTACAAAATAATAACTAAAATAAAAATGTTTTAATTGATTTTTTAGTTTTTAGTTCTTAATTGATATCTTCTAAATAACAAAATTTCTTCAAAGAATATAAATTTTAAAAAAATCAATTAAAATATTTTTTTATAATATTTGTTATATTTTAGCGAAATAACAATTTCTTATTCATTTTGAGTTACAGTAATTTTGCAACATAAAAAATTTGTTATGAATGCATGCGTGATTTTATTAGTATCGCTGGCGATAAAACTTATAGAAGAGAAGAATCTATAAATATAATTAATAAAAAAATTATTTTATAAAAAAATAGAAAAAAAATTATTTGATTGATGTAGTGAGAGAACTCGACAGATCAATGCAAATTTATGGAGAGATGAATGAGAAAGAATTAAAGATGAAATTGAAATTGAAATAGTAATTGAATTTTGGATCATAAAAAATAGTTAAAAAATGTATGTAAAGTATAAACAGTTATGTAATAAAAAGCGTGTGATTATTATTTTCGATTATAAATATTTTGGACTATTCAACTATTTTATTGGCAAGTTTGTAATTGTTGCTATATTGTAAAATGTATTATGTAAAATATAAATTTAATAAATATGATACATAAAGTGTATATTCATCATATATAGAGGTCGTATTTTGTAAATTTCCCTTTTTTTATTTTTTTTTATGACTCGGTGTCCAAATTCCGTCCGACTAAACCTGAAGAGTAACTGTTTTAATCCGGATGTTGTCATAGTTTATACACACTTTAGCCAGACATTCGGCGATTCTCCTCCTCGTGAACCTCTGCCTTCCTACATTTAAATGTTACATTTCAACGTCACGAGAATTTGAATATTCGAATGTTTATTCACCTTTATAAAACTAACGCATAGAACATTATATTTCTTTTTTCTTTTTAAATAATCGAGCCTAATCTTCAAATTCAAGCGACTATTTGGATTAATAAACAAAATTTAACATACTCTCCAGTTATTAGATACTTGCAGCGTGCAAGTCCTCGTTACTTTCAACATGTCATGTCGTGTTATGATGTGTAGTCTATTTAAAAATTCTCTAGTGTCTATCCATTTGTAGTATTAACTACAAGAAGGTAAATTTGCCAGTGGGTCGACGTGCCATCAATTATAGAACTGCGACCAAAATAGTAAAGAGTCAAATGTGCAGGTGAAACAAATTTATGAAGGGACATATTAAAAAATGTCCAATTTTTTGAGTGTCAATTAAAAAATATCCATCATTTTGAATTTTGTACCAAATTGTCCATTATGTCCTTAATGGAAAAATGAGGCAATTTATTTTCTTCCAATTTTTCACAAATTTCAAGAAGTAGCTTTCATGAGAAGCCACATTCAAATAATATTCTCAACATTTCAATTGTCGTTCTCGACATTTGAACCCTATTTATATTTCAAAAGTACATATGTCAAATCACAATATTAAATATTCTCGACATTTCAAATGTTGTTCTCGACATATTAAGCCCCTGTTTGCCCCCCATTAATTTAAATTTTTGGGGGGTAGATAATTTTTAGAATAGTGATTGATGGGAGATGTGTGGTTGAAAAGTTTTTGATTTGTGTGTATTATTATTTTATTTGATGAATGGATGGTTGAGATGAAGAGAGAGAAAAAATTAATGTAATGGAATGTGATATAATGGGGGGCAAACAAGGGCTAAATGTCTATAATGACATTTCATTCTGAACATGACATTTCTCTACATTTGAAATGTCGTTCTTGACATTTATGCGTCAATGAGAAAAATTGCATTTATTGCGATTTGACAATTGTACTTTCGAAATAAATAGGTTAGGGTTATGTGTCAAAATTTTATTTGGTCAATAAATTTTTTAATAAAGTGGACATTTTTGTGTTTATGTAGAATTATAAATTGTTAACTATGATATTTTGGTCTAAATTCTTTCAAAATGGATATTTTTACAATAACGGACATTTTTGTAAATGGACACAAAAAAGTGGACATTTTGTGAAATTTCCTCATTTATGAATTATAAATACTCATTATTTTCTTACCAGTTTTTATAGAAATTGTCGATGTGGTCTGCGATTTTAAAGACGAATTTATAAAGGAGAATTTACAAAATACATCAAATGAATTTACAATTTGCTCACTTTATTTTGAAAAAAAGATCCCATTTTGCATGCCATATTTTAATTATTCATAACTAAAAGGGTAATTGTATTGACCCTACACTGCATCACATGCCATATTTTTGCTTTGCAACTTTATTCCTTCTCATTTTTTTCTTTAACCCTCAAAAAATTACTATATTACACCTCTAATGACGGGTTTTGTCCAAATATTCTGTTAGCGTACTTCAAAATAAATGGCAAAATTTTGCCCAACTTTTTTTTTTCTTGTTTAAAAATTCGGAGTACAAAT